TATGGTACCAAAAGGGAGTTGGGGAGCGTTTGGGGAACATCTGTAACGGTTCCCGTTACAATTAGCACTAGTTATTCTTTTTTTTCTTCTTTGTTCTCCGGTACTTTTTTTGTCCGCGAGTGTTCTCAGAAACTGTTCACCCAACTAAGTTAAAACCTTTTTAGGGTTAATAGGTGTCAAGTGTAGGTGTGCACAACGAAGGTCATTTTGCGCGCATACGCATGCACGTGCGTGCGCGTGAAATGAGTGAAATGACTGACATACTTATTATAGCCATAACTTTTACATTTTTTATTGAAATGCTTTGAAACTCATTCTATAAGGATATATTAATAGTCTAGATAATATGACATGGTCAAATTAGCACGAACTCACATGCATGCACGTGCGTTTCCCTCTGATTGGCTGAAACAAAGATTTCAATATCTCTTTTGTTTTTTGACGAAATGCTTTGAAATTTTAAACATAGTCATGCATTAGGATATACTACAATATGATATATAGGAGGTATCATGAAAACACGCGCATGCACGTGCGCTGCAATCTGATTGGCTTAAACTTTAAATGGGTATAACTCCTTTGATTTTCAACCAAACAGGATGGGATTTAGAACACAGATAGACATAGTGGATTCCTACAAAAAGGTAAGGTCATCATGCACATGCATGCACATTAAATGGATAAAATCAAAAATACACTTGATGAAGCGTATTTTTTAATACTTTTGGATTAAATGCTTCATTATTTTATTATATTAATGTATATAGATGGTGTAGACAAGAGAATATGGTCATTACGCACATGCATTTACATGTGCACGCGTACAAATGCTAAAATTTGAATATACTCGGTATACTTCAGGGAAACGTTGTTAAAGTGTAAAATGCATAGATATTAACTGAATTTCACATAATATTCACGGTATTTGCTTTTAAACTCCATTTTACACATCTTTGTATATGTCGATCTTCGCCAAAGTCTCTTTACACGACATTCACAAATAACTTGATGTACACATGTGACGTCATCGATGGCAGATTTTAATCAAAATGACATGTACAACATAATAAAATAAAAACATTTTAGTTTTCTTAATGTCTAGACGTTTTTATTCATTTTCTAAAGTTAAATTACATATCTAAATACCAATATTTACATTTGCAAATGTTTTCCTTTATATAACACTACTGAAAGCAATGCGTATCTATAACTGTATAAATACCGGTACGGGGTCAAGAGGTCATAGATGTGCGTATGGATAAACGTTTGACGTAACTTCTCAGTGACGTCATAAAGGGTCTACGCGCGTCCAGTGGATTACATACATGCCGCTGGGTTTGAATAATAATGCATTTCACACGTTAAAAGTCACAATCAGGCAAATATTAAGTATGAATAAGTCACAAATGTAAATATAAGTAATAAGGTATCATTTTAAAACATCTATCGGGCTATAGATAAGGGTTGGTACGAGATTAAATTCATCATAAAGCCCTTCGGGTTTTATGGAATTTAATGTTGTGACCAACCCGTATTTATATCCTGATAGATGTTTAAAAATGATACCTTATTTCTTAAATATTACGAAAACTTGTTCTGTAAAATTGTCATCTCGCCTACTATGACGTCATAATGTATGACTGACTCAGTCAAGGTAGCATTTGTTGTATGCTTCCTTATAACCCGTGCGCAATTTACTTTCACCCTCTTTCCTATTTCATATATCAAAATAAAGGAGAGATTTTGTGCTTTCGATTCCTGTAATATAGAATGGAAAACAGGCTTTGAGAAATTGCAGTGTTCATGAAAATTGCAGAAAATACGCGTATTTGACTGCCTTCAGCAATGAATTAAAATATGAGCACAGCGCACGATAAAAAAAAACTTTTTCGATCTTCAGAAACAGAGCTTTCATTATGGAGTGGGAGATTTTGGATCAGAGGTTGTGCTCTATATGAAATATTGAAAAAATACTTCAACCGTCGGCCATTTTCAAAGGAATTTACAGGATATAAGGAAAATGACGCGTTTTATGCCTACATAATGCATTGACTAAAGGGAAAATAACGTCATATTCAGTAGATACATAGTCACCAACAGTCCAAAGATAAATACTGCATTTTCAACCTAAATTAAGCATTTTGATTTTGAAATTCTCAGGGCCATAAAAGGCCCTAAGTGGCTCTTGCTCTTTACAGATGAAATTAATGCGTTTGAATACATATCTTTAGAGAAAAAAAAAACATCAAAATATTTACCTTTTATATCATATTATGTATTATATTATTATTTTTTTTAAATATGTAATATTTTTACTTCCATCACGTTCATTTGAAAAAGAGATATTGTGCATTACATTTTGTATAGTGAGATACTGTAATTAATTTTTAGTAGACGAGATATTCTGTCACTATGTGAAAAGTTACCAAACTGATATTCTGTCATAGTTCCACTTCCCTAAACGAAGAATGCTGTAAAAAAAATACCCCTGGACTGTTACAAGAGAGAATGCATAAACCATCCTGACAGAGATTAAAACTGTTAAAGAACCTCCAAATAATGTTAAAAATGTTAGCTATGACGTCTCAGCCGCTCAAATATGACATCAAAACATATAAAACTTTTGTAACAAAACAGAGAGAGGCAAGAAAAACATCTAAGAAAATGTAATAAAGAGACAATCTAATGCTTTGATCGATTGATTGTATGTTGTTTAACATCCCTCTCGAGAATTTTTCACTCAGATGGAGACGCCACCACTTGCCGGTGGAGGGCTACAAATTTTGTCCTATGCTCGGCACGCAGGGCCTTTGAGCAGTGAGGGATCTTTTTCGTGCCAGCACCTACTGCGACACGGGGCCTCGGTTTATACGGTCTCATCCGAAGGACCGGTCTCCACGTCCCGCAGTGGGATTCGAACCCGCGACGTAAGGATTGACTCCTTACTTCGCGACTCTAGAGCAGACGCTCTAACCACTGCGCCACGCGGGCGACTCTAATGCTTTGATGTTGTGACTCTAATGCTTTGATGTTGATGTTGGATATGGAATTTACATCACCCGTGAGACAGGATTGTTCTATATCTCAACTCGTGCCTCGCACTCGCGCAAATAAAAAAAATTCCTCTCCCACTCGACTCGTGAAATAAATTCAATATCCAACTACGAAACATTAAATAACCTCTATATATTTTGATATAACCTGCAAGTTTTCTGATCATATGCTTATAGTTAAAAAGACATCTCCTGATTTTTCAGAACATTGCATTTTAATAAATGGAAAACACATAATTTGTTCCTTACTTTCATATGAAATATAATAAAAAATATGGAGATGACGAACAGTATTCGAGCTCAAGAATCCATTTAACATAACAAAATAGCAGCGGAGCAAAGTCGGACCTTCAAAACATCAGAGGTGGGATCAGGTGCCATGGAGGATTTGGCGTACCCTACTGACCGGTCACACCCACCGTGTGCTCCTTGTCATGTTCGGGGGAAAAACGGAAAAGTCTGTCGACAACTCTGTGTGTAAAAAATATTTGCTGACAGGGTCATTGTATTGATTACAGAACTTCCGAATGGATGACTTTAAATGAGACTGCTGATATTCTTACTTCATCAACTTGGTTGTCAATAACTTACCTCGTTTTAGGAATTATTCATGCGTAGACTATGCTTTTCCTTATCGAATCAACTGAGAGATATAAACTCCGTATGCAGGTGACAAGGATATATTGCTGCATAAGTAAGAGAAGTCGACCATTGAAAAGTCAAAGTCATCACGATTATCATAAAGCTTTGAAGTTTGAAAACCATTATTGTCTTTTTCAAGTAAAATATCCAAATATGAAACAGTCAGACTCTTTGGTATATTTTATTTCAAGCTCACCGGTGTATATCGTGTCGACATAAAAATTGAAGTAACTATTGTTAATTCGAAATATCCCAATGTTGAGTTGAAGGCCACAGTAACTGTTTTCTTCTTTTTACGTTAAAGATTTTAAACAAATTCTGCTTCATATGAATACAATAAAAGGTTTGTTAATAACGGGACGCAATTCATATCCATGGGAATTCCAACAGGACCGGGCTGCTCTAAACATATAAGTTTAAGTGTTGGTGTATGGGGATTTGGGTGGGAGTAGTTATGTAGAATTAAAGGTTTTCTAAACATTGAAAAGATTGTTAATCAGGATGTTTTCTCCGTTTATAAATAACGAGATAATAATATATTTACTTCCATAAAGTTTATCTGTAAAAATGTATATGTTTTTCATATTTAATATATATAGTTACTTATCATTTACTATCGAAACAACGACAGGTCCCCTTTTTTAGATCATCAAATTTTACTTCTCGGATAAAAACGTACTCTGCACAGTTCGTGTTTTGTATTCTAAAATTGAAAATTAATACATTTTTAAATATAAATGATGCGTGTATCTAACTTCATTTTATATTTTATGCAGTCAACATTTACTTGAGGAATTGATCAAGTTTAAATGGAATCGTTTTTGATTGATTTTTATCCGACTACAAGTTTTTAAAAATATTTGCAACTATCGTCTCCATCAATTAGACACATGCCTTTTTACACATATCGAAGCAGTTTGTTGATCAAGATTAATTTTCATTGTTTACTTTATATATTTCCCGGGCGACAATTGATGGTTACATCAATGTTTTCTTGTACCTATTTGATTCTAATCCATATATTTTATCCACTAAAATAAAATAAAAGAAACTCTTGATGGCCTGAACTAAGACAAATCATAGTAACTTTTTCCCGTCATAATCCTATATTTCTAGGAATCTGTATTTCAGAAAGGTCGAGAATATATTCAACCAAACTTTTGGCTGTCTCTGTTAATCTCCAATGTCCCATCAAGTGTCTGGATGAAGTCATGCTGATCTGCTGCGATAGCATTGATCTGCCTTTCAAAATATTCATAGAATACATCTAAGATTAAAGAAATTTGAGAAGTGGTGACAACATCAAGTTTTCTGGTAAATTTACTCTAACTTCATTGAAATTGTGCCCTCCCTTTGATCTACACGCAACTATCTATTAGATCCTCTGAACATGTTTGATCATAGAAAAGTGATTAGAGATACAAATAAAACTTCTGGAGATAAGGAAGATCTCTTTTATCAAAATCAATACTAGTGTTCTTATAAAGAGTTTTTACACCACATCAGTCATCATGAGTTGCTTTTTTAACTTTATTATAAACACAGTCACCCATCTACTTCATTGTCAATAAGTCCTGCTTTATCGTGGGTCGGGGTATGTGCCTCTTCCTTTCGTTCGTCACTGTCTCCTGCTGTTGACCTGTCCTCGGGGTCTGATCCACCTGTCTGTGTCTCCACGTGTGATCTGATATCGATGTCACGGGGAGCGGCAGAAGCTGATGGACTACTGACGGATTCTGTCGTCAAAGTACATGACCCCGGAGTGGACTCGACATTCCCCGGGGGACTAATGATATCACTGTATCTAGGAGGGCTATTTGCGTCAGATACTTTGAGGGTCCGGTGTCCGTCTTGTACTGTCTGGGAATAGCTAGGAGGAGGATTTATATCATATCTTGTATCTGGCAATCGTACCACTGACACTGCAAATAGAACATACACCTTTAAATGTAACATAGATTTAAACACACAATACGAATATGTACTATTACATGTACCTCGGAGACGCGTGTATCTAACTTACGACTGTTCTATTGCGGGGGAGTAGAGGAGGCTCTAAATTTCGCAAAATTTCAGGGAGATAATATGGCCTACATCAGTGACTATCGAAAGACGCAAATAATTACTATTCAAAAAACAATGCATTGCATTATAACATCTACGTACGCAGAAAATACTTGCCGTTACCTTTGAATCAACATTCGCACATTTCGACAATTCTTATCAGATTAAAATAGTTGCTAAAATTTATATGTCTAATCGATATATCTTGGTGAAATTCCAATCGAAGACTCCACAGAGTCCGACATATCTGTTTCATATTTGTACCTGTTACTTCCTACTTGCCTTCCAACCTATTCGTTAAAGTTTCGTCAAAGGTCAACATGTCCAACAATTTATTTTTACAATGGTTTCAAAACTATATGGTTTATTTACTTAAAACTTTGACAGTTTATAAATATATCATTGATTAACAGATAGAAAGTATCAATTGATAACAAGTACTTAAAAAAATATTTACCAAGAAAAATTTTGTTAAAACAATACATTTATTTTAAGAAAAAACCCTTAATTAATTCTGTGCTTTTAGTGAAAGCCATTATTGCAGAAACAATAAATGTTGATAAATGAAGGGCAAGTTGGACTTTGATAGCCTCTGGAAAGTTGTTTTATGTGTTTAATTTGTCCAAAATGTTTAGATCTGAAACTGAAAGTACGTTGCAAATGGCCGATTATATTGGGGTCTTGTATTTATACATGTCATGCTTTCAATAGAAGCCTGTCAGAGACCATTCATGTCCAACTTGCCCTTCATTGATAAACATATATTATTTCTGCAATAATGGTTTTCACTAAAAGGACAGAATTAAGCAGATGCGTTTTTCTTTAAACATGCACATTTTTCTCAAAAAAAGTTTTTTCTAAGTATTTGTTATCAAGTGATACTTCCTATTTGTTCATCAGTGATATATTTATCTATCAAAGTGTTAATCTTATACCTCACATAGGTTTTTAGCTATTGAAAAATAAATTTTAGACATTTTTTGACCTTTGACGAAACCTTAACCAAGAGGATACTAAGAGTATGTTCAATATTGAAACCTATACATATTTCTGATATATATTTAAGTCGTAAGCTTAATGCGGAGAGAAATCAAGAATTTCACAGGGAAAACGTCCTATCCAAGGGTATCTGGTACAAGTATATATTTACAAAAACAATTAAGGAACGAGAGTAAGAACAAAACGTCGTGTTCACTATACTGTCAATATCGGAGAAAATTTCATACCTGCATTTCCCGTATTGTTCTCTGTCTCTGGGGTTTTTCTCTTACATTTGATATAACAAAAGAAACACAGTAGAACTAGAACTATGGATCCGAAAAAGAGGCCAACAAAAATCCACATCAGACGAGAATTACTTCTGAAAAAATAAAACAAACCAAAGTAGTCAAATGAAACAAAAATCCACATCAGACGGGAATTACTTCTGAAAAAAAAGTAGTCAAATATAATTAATGCGTACATAAGTTTGGAGGTAGATCCAAAAATAGGTTAAAATTTGATTATAGTTTTCTTTTAATTTAGGATTTTTTTTAAAATTTAGTTTAAAATACAAATAATAGAATTCTAACCACTTTTGATTATACTGAATTCACCTTTTATCAATAAGTGTTCATACGTATAATTAGATATAAACTTGTGTCGTTTTCAATTTATTTCACTGGATAATAGAGAAGAGGAATGAAACCTGGAGATAAAGAACAGTATTCAAGATCAAAAGTCCATAAAGCAATACAAAATACGGAAAGAGCAAACACAGTCCTCCAAAACATCAGAGATGGGATCAGGTGCCATGGAGGAGTAAGCAGCCCTTGCCGACCGGGCGCACCCGCCGTGTACTTCTTGTCATGATCGGAAAATAATAGAAAAATCCGTCGTCAAAAAATTCGTTTTATAAATAATGGACAAACAGTAAGTATGAAAATCATCAGTCATCATGTGACTCAACGATATATTGTATTTGCTGATAAATATTGCTAAGAGCAATGAAATTCATCAAAATTATTCAAATACTCATATTATTTTAAGTAAAATAGTTCTCGATGCAAATATTGGAAGCTAGATCATTGTTATGAAAATCAATCGTTAATTTGAAATTGTCTTAACGTGGGTCTGGGCTTTTCGTCATGTTAGTTAGACGACTAAATACTAATTATATTAAACAAATTAAAAGTATTGTGGTCCCCCACTTTCGATATCTTATTGGATAGGTTTATATTGACTCCTCGATAAGAATATATGACGTCAGGTTTAGGGTTAACTCTGCCTTGTGTAATTACTTGATATATTGACTCCTTCTGTAAGAGGAATATTTGACGTCAGGTTTAGGGTTAACTCTGCCTTGTGTAATTACTTGATATATTGACTCCTTCTGTAAGAGGAATTTATGACGTTAGGTTTAGGTTTAACCTTGTGTTGTGTACTTACTGATTATATTAACTCCTTCTGTAGGAGGGATATATGGCGTCACTTCAGGTTTAACCCTGTGTTGTGTACTTACTGATTATATTGACTCCTTCTGTAGGAGGAATATATGACATCAGGTAACTGGTTTAGGATTAATTTTCTGTTGTTTACTTACTGGCTATTTTGACTCCTTCTGTAAGAGGAATAAGTGACGGTTCTACCCCTGTTGTATGTGACAAAAACTCTGCCCTCTTCTTCCTGAAGGTACGTTCCTACCAAAGTAAAACAAAGCATCACCTTCATGAAATACATATTTGACGATATCCAAATAGTTGCAAACTGATTATATGTTTATAAAAGTTTCTTATATGGGTGACTTTAAGCTGGTCTTTTTATTCTTAATTTTTGACTTTTTTTGTTTTTGAGTTTCCACGACGTTCATTTTTGTAATTTATGATCCTTTTCCTCAAACAAAGCCTGTGATGGCGCTTCTTAAAATTATTTCAGACAAAACTTTTAAGTTTATTATGACCAAGTGGAATATCATATCATATTTAAAATCTACAAAAAATTAAGAGTCCAATTGTAAAGAACATTTCAATAAATTAGATACTGTCAATAATTTATCAGAAAAGGGCTTCGGTGATAAAAATTTAAAAAAAATTATCTTAATATATTACTGTCTAGCACAAGTTGGATGCAATGTTCTTTAATATTCCCTACATATAATAATATTGTAACATCACCATAGGCCCGAGAGGAATGATTGCTGCAAATAATAGTTTCCACTAAATGGTTAGGTTTGTCTTCTTTCAAGAAGTTTCAGTACCTAAATTATATATAATTTTCTTCATATGTTTCTTTTATATGAAAGAGAATTGTACTCTAGTTTTGTACACATTTTAATTGAATTTATTGAAGGCATATTTGTATTCAATGTGAAATTTGCCAATTAGTTTTGATATTAAGACGCGTGAATATGAAGAAGTTTTAAGATTCTTTACATTTATTAATCAAAGAATCATTAAAATCGTTAAATTAAATGATTTTACTGTGTAGTTTTTAGTTTACTCTACATGTAGATTTAAAATTGACATTAATACACAAGGTGTGTAATACAAGCCTAGGATTTACCCTGAAGTGTTAACGACAGTAATGACTTCCAGTTACTTCCGCTCTTAACAGGCGGAAGTTCTTAAGTACAAATTCATTGATGACACGTTATAGTAATCGTATTTCTACGCTTGTCTCTATCTTATGTATTACATGCGCTTACAAAAAATTCTTTCGCCTTTTCTTTTCTATACTAAATTAAAAGGTTTATATTTCTTATTTAGTATCTATATCATTTTCAGTATATTGTTAACATAAGAAGGATGAAGAAAAGAGACTGATCTTACTAAAAATTCAAAATAATCAAATACGTGAACATAAACACAAAGCCCTGGTGATTCCGGAGGAGATCAAATGCCTAAACAATATTTTAGATTAATATCACAAAAAGGAAATGTACCAATCAAAACATAGATTAAATCTATCTTAATGTATTTATCATTTCAATGACTTTCATGTAAGTAAGATAATGTATGTTTTCATTACAATGAAAATTAAAATGCTCCATTCTTATAGGCTCACTTTCGTGTATAAAGTTAGAATGCGTATGTTTTCATTCTTACAGGATTGCTAATATAACTTGACTTATTTGAATCGTAAATAAATCTTTTTCAAGGAAGAATTTTTGATATTAGGTATCAAGAAGAGGTGACACTTAACATAAATTTTTTTTTAAATATCTAGTTTTGATCTTTAAAAAATTATATGTTTAATTTTGTCCTGATGGGGTTACAGTAATATTTTTCATTAAATTATTTTTTTTTAAATTATAAAAGTAAGAATATCAGCAGTCTCTTTTAAAGTCATCATTTCGTGAATTCTATGGTCGATACAATGACCTTGTCAGCAAATTCAATCTATCATTAAATCAAATGGTGACTGACATTTTTAAATTGTTTGGCCATTATTTACACTCCTCCAAGGTACCTTAATCCACTTCTGATGTTTTGGTGGGAAGTGTTATACCTGCCTTTATTATGTATTGTTTAATGGACTTTTGAGCTCGCATACTGTTCGTTATTGTGCTATATTATTTATTTTTAACACTAAAAAGTTCTTATGTTAAAAACTTACCATATAGAATTAATATTAAACTCCATGCTCCATGGAAAAGGGACTCCATCGTGTCGTGTATTAATGAATATTGATAATGTATGTACAACAATTAGTCATGGTGAATTGAAGCGACCCGGATGTATGGACGGACGCTGTTAGCTCAAGTCACTGAACAATCATCTATAAATTCATCATCAGTGATTTAGAATCTAATAAAGAAATTTACAGCACAACTCTATCCCCATCATTTGTCCTCGGTCTGACACTTAATGACCCGCTGTCGTCACAGTCAAACATCCGCAATGTTACACCAAGATGACGTCACTGTCGTGCTCGGTACATACTGTCTTCATAAATTGATTCATTGTTCGATCAATCAGTCGATTGATTGATGGATGGATGGACGTTGTACTCTTTAATGTCAGATTCTAATATTTCACTCCTAGAGAGATTTCACCAAAAAAATGTTGAGCTTCAAATTCAGACTTTGTTCGATACCTAGGACCACGAGGCACTGTTTTTTTTTTTACCGAGGCAAAAGCTACTGTGAAACGGAGCCTCGTTTTTTTTAAAGATTCGTCTGTCAATTACGTGATTTTCAATTCTAATGGCGACGGAACAGTCACTTCCTATGTTTAGGTCTTAGATTTGACCTCGCACGGTGAACAATTGTAAGAATTTTAAAGCAAACACCCAATTACTAGGCAAAATTCTCATATGTTAAAAGGGATGAACATTTCTTCTTTGAAAAATAGCAATGTGAAAATTTATTTTCTTTGAACTAACAAACTGAATAAAAGTCGCTATTACGTTAGGTTTATGTTGTAAGTAAAAAGTGTAATTATACCCGCACTTTCTAAAGAAAGTTCGGGTATATTGTTGTTACTCATGTCCGTCCGTCCGTCCGTCCGTCCGTCTGTCACACTTTTCTTCCCTGAACTCCTCCTACATTTTACACAGTAGCTTAATCATCTTTTGGGAGATGGTTGGTGGTGTCATGTAGATGTGCAGTAAGGTTTCGGAATTTTGATTTTGCCCCGGGGGGTCAAATGGGGGTCGAAAAATGACGTTTTTTGTGCAAAAAGTCCCGTCTTCCCTGAACTCCTTCTACATTTTACTCAGCAGCCTTATCATCTTTTGGGGGATGATTGGTGGTGTCACGTAGATGTGCAGTAAGGTTTCGGAATTTTGATTTTGCCCCGGGGGGTCAAATGGGGGTCGAAAAATGATGTTTTTTATGCAAAAAGCCCCGTCTTCCCTGAACTACTTCTACATTTTACACAGTAGCCTAATCATCTTTTGGGAGATGGTTGGTAGGGTCATGTAGATGTGTAGTAAGGTTTTGGAATTTTAATTTTGCCCTGGGGGGTCAAATGGGGGTCGAAAATTGACTTTTTTTTATGCTAAAAGCCCCGTCTTCTCTGAACTTCTCTTACATTTTACTCAGCAGCCTTATCATTTTTTGGGGGATGATTGGTGTTGTCACGTAGATGTGCAGTAAGGTTTCGGAATTTTGATTTTGCCCCAGGGGGTCAAATGGAGGTAGAAAAATAATTTTTTTATGCAAAAAGCCCCGTCTTCCCTGAACTCCTTCTACATTTTACACAGTAGCCTAATCATCTTTTGGGAGATGGTTGGTGGTGTCAGGTAGATGTGCAGTAAGGTTTCGGAATTTTGATTTTGCCCCAGGGGGTCAAATAGGGGTCGAAAAATAACGTTTTTTATACAAAAAGCCCCATCTTCCCTGAACTCCTCTTACATTTTACTCAGCAGCCTTATCATCTTTTAGGAGATGGTTGGTGGGGTCATGTAGATGTGCAGTAAGGTTTCGGAATTTTGATTTTGCCCCGGGGGGTCAAATGGGGGTCGAAAAATGATGTTTTTTATGCAAAAAGCCCCGTCTTCTCTTAACTTCTCCTACATTTTACACAGTAGCCTAATCATCTTTTGGGAGATGGTTGGTGGGGTCATGTAGATGTGCAGTAAGGTTTTGGAATTTTGATTTTGCCCCAGGGGGTCAAATGGGGGTCGAAAATTGACGTTTTTTATGCTAAAAACCCCGTCTTCTCTGAACTTCTCTTACATTTTACTCAGCAGCCTTATCATTTTTTGGGGGATGATTGGTGTTGTCACGTAGATGTGCAGTAAGGTTTCAGAATTTTGATTTTGCCCCAGGGGGTCAAATGGGGTAGAAAAATGATGTTTTTATGCAAAAAGCCCCGTCTTCCCTGAACTCCTTCTACATTTTACACAGTAGCTTAATCATCTTTTGGGAGATGGTTGGTGGGGTCATGTAGATGTGTAGTAAGGTTTCTGAATTTAGATTTTGCCCCGGGGGGTCAAATTGGGGTCGAAAAATAACGTTTTTTATACACAAAGCCCCGTTTTCCCTGAACTCCTCTTACATTTTACTCAGCAGCCTATTCATCTTTTGGAAGATGGTTGGTGGGGTCATGTAGATGTGCAGTAAGGTTTCGGAACTTTGATTTTGCCCCGGGGGGTCAAATGGGGGTCAAAAAATGACGTTTTTTATGCAAAAAGCCCCGTCTTCCCTGAACTTCTCCTACATTTTACACAGTAGCCTAATCATCTTTTGGGAGATAGTTGGTGGTGTCAGGTAGATGTGCAGTAAGGTTTTGGAATTAAGATTTTGCCCTAGGGGGTCAAATGTGGGTCGAAAAATGACATTTTTTGTGCAAAAAGCCCTGTCTTCCCTGAAGTCTTCCTTAATGTTACTCAGAAGCCTAATCATCTTTTAGGAGAGTTAAATATTTTGAAAATTATGTAAAACATCAACGTCAAGGGGTAAAAAAGCATCACATGCTGGGAAACACCTTGAATTCTTATGAGTAATTAATGTACATGTCAAATGTGAGAGTCATATCTCATCTCAATCAAAAGTTATAAGCAAATGCAACATTTTTGAAAAGTAGAGGCTTGCCCGCTTCAAGGTCAAGGTCACAGAGTAAAAGTCATGATTTATTTGGAAAGGTCTTATCACAGGTAATAACATACATGCATTATGATATGAATGCCCTAACTTTTCTCTTTCAAAATGATGAATTTATAACAATTTAATTTTTTTGCAAGTAGGTCAAACTTCTAGGTCACAGGTAAAAAAAAAAACCCATGCCATTCTCACAGGTAAATACTAATACATAAGTTTAATATTCAGTAGATATGACCGTGATGACCAAGGTTAAATTTATTGAGACAGATGGACAGTCTGACATACAAATGTACATATTTCTATATGAATTGGGTAAAATTGGCCCAGTGGTTCTAGAGAAGTTAAAAATGTAAAAAGTTTTCAGACAAACAGATGGACGACACGTCACGACAGACGTTATATGCTAAGGAAACCAGAAAAGCTCAAATGAGTGTTTTGAAAGGGTTAGAATATGGTTGCAGTATTTGAAAAGCTGTTTTTTTCATGCAGAGATATGCATGACCAACATATTCATGTTTTATATTTTCTTTAGTAATTTGTTTGTTTGTTGTGAATACATCTCTCTTGGGAATTTTTCCCTCATATGGAGACACCACCAAATAATAATGAAGACAAGATGTGTTTGTGAAACACTGATGTCCCTGTATGGAAGCCTATGGCGAAGGTGGAAGTTTCTCAAATATATGTCAAATTCAAAGGTCAAGGTCAAAGGGTTCAAATTGTTAGTATCAAAAGAGAGTCTTGTCACAAGGAATGCACATGTGAAATAAAGAAATCCCTAGTAATTCCTGTTCAAAAGTTAATTGCCAAGGTTAATTTTTATTTTAAATGGTTCAAACTCTAGGGTCAAGGTCAAACATATTTATACCTGTTGACAGTTCACAATGAATACACATGTTAAGCATGAAAGCCCTAGCACCTACTGATCAAAATTTAGGCGGAGTTTAAAGTTTGGTATTTTTCTTGTAAAAATGTGTATCCTAGGTCAAGCGATTTCAGGTAAAAATTAATGGTACCCAAATAAAAGGTCTTAATTGTCACAAAAAATAAACCTATAAAATGTGGAAGCCATTTGTATAGCCCATCCCACTTAAAACTTATGGGCAAGGTTATAATTTCTGCAGACAAATGGACAGACATAATATAAACACAAGAAACAAAATATGTATAATTACTCAAATGGAAAAAAATATACTATTTAATTGGAATCACAAAATAGATTGTTATTTCAGGGACAGGGAGTGGGTAGGGAGATTGGAATCCCCCATCACCCCCCCCCCCTGGAATTTGCTTTGTTATTTAAACAAGACTATATACTGAAGCAAATAAAAAATGACTTTGGACATCCTCCCCGTAACTGAGAAAAACATTGACCACACTATCATTGTTTTTATTTTGTTTATTTGTTTTCAGTTTTTTTTCTCCTGCTTGTCAGGAAATTCTGGGCTGGAAATTTTTTGACTGAGATGTGAACCCCCCTCCCTACTCCCGAAAAAAATTCTGGATTTGCACCAGTATTGGCAGTAACTGAATGTCACATCGACAATGGCAGATAACTTCACAATATGAAGTTCGTCTAGTGTGGCCTGCGATGATCTTTGACCCTTTTTGAACTTTAACCTAATAGTTTGGGTTTATTTTACCCCCCACTATACTTAAACTTGTACTTACAGACTGCCTTATGTCTCGTCAACTTCATGAAATATAAATCCAATTATAACACAAAATGAATTAATCCAATGCACACCAGACTGCAGCCATGTGCTAATTCCATTCGACAAACCTTCGTCGATTCCATCACCTTATCAGATGAAGTGGGAATCGGCCGAGGTGTGCCAAATGGTGTTTAATCTAAAAATATGATAATGGGTGACGCAACGTGATGTGATGTAGAAATTTACATGTTAACATGTATAGTACAAGAACAAATTTTAAATTAATTCATAACAAACGATGTTTTAACAAAACTTTTCTATTTAGCCTATTCCAAACAGTATGTGCTGTGTGATTGTGGTGTCGAGGGGGGGGCATTAATAAATTTAAAAAGGTCCTATTATGAGCAAAACATTTATCAAAATCTAATTTACATCATTAATAGAATTCAAAATGGTATATAATGAATTAAGCATGTAAAATAAATATAAAAGGTTCTGAGTTATAGGTCACAGGGTCTGAGAATTTCATACTCAGTTTGATGAATACATGTAAATCATTGGTGTCGGAAGCAAATTCAAAGTGGGGGGGGGGGC